TTAAATATATTAAAATCTGAAAGTCATTTTTGAAAAATAAATGGTAAAATATAAAATCTTAAGAGAATTTATTAAAATTTTGTTTGCATATAAACTAAATTTTAATGAATTCTTTAGCATTAATAGTTATTAATCATCAAACATTGATGGCTGAATGGCCAAGGTAGTAAATGAGTAAGCTTACTTCTCTGAGGACCTGAGATCAAATCCAGGGAAGCAAAAGTGCCAGGAGTTTTTTACAAGTACAGTAGTGTAACCACATTTCATGTAAATGGGCCCATGTTATAATTTAATATAAATCACTACACATTTTAATAATTTTTTCTTTTAATATGTAAATAATAGTTTATAACAAATGTATATAAACTATTAAATCAGTAACTTAGTTAATTCCATTGTTAAATTATTTTTCCTATAGCATTTTTATTAACTTTTTCATTATAAATGAAAGGCCCAGGAGGCCTGTGCCTCCCTTGGTTACTCCAGTATTTGGGATGGTCTGTCCTGTATATGTCAGGCTCCATAATCAGCTTACAAAAAAGCCATGTTAATGCCCACATAATGGAAAGAGTCAAAAAACAAAACATGTTCCTTTCAAATTTTAGTACTGACTACATCATTTCTATTCAAGCTTTCCAAGCAATACAAGTCAAAACTAATCTCAATCAGTGCAATTTTGGGAAATAACAGGAAGAAAACAAGACCAAAATCACAATTACTAGAATGTAAGATTGGAGAACTCTCTTCCAAAACCTGTCTAGAGAAAAGCTCTATCACCAGTGTGACACTATCAGTAATTAAGGCCAATTTTCATCCATAGTATGTGGCACAACAAACAATATAGCATTAAATTGTACACACAGTTTACTGTTACATTGTATGTATACTATATAGACATGATACAGTGTACTGTATCATACATATATATAGGCATATATAGTTTATACTGATGAACACAAATTAAATGTAATTTCATCAGAGAATAAAACTGTGATTTACACAATTATTTTATGTTAAAAAAATAAGTTTAAAACTAAATACAATATTATTTCTTGTTAACACAAAATATCACATTNCAAGAAATTCCATTGTACCGACTACTTCCGGGGCATAATCGTAACAACACCGCACATTCCAGTAAATCTATAATGCATTTAACGAGCATCTCGGATCCATTGCTTTTCACTCTTTTTCACAGTCTACAGCTCCAATAAGGTCCCAACTGCATCATTCACAGCTGCAATTTTTACTGGCATTCATAAAACCATATGAGTGTTAGGCAAGAAATGTAAACATTTTTTTCAATATAATGCACTTCATAAAAAACTGTTTATAAAGTTTTTGGGAAGTTCTTCTGTAATGCATAGGTAATTACAGCTGTCTCTCGATGTCTGACGTTTTGTAATCCGACACGCTCAGTAGTCCGACGCACCTCCCGTCAAGGTACCCGTCCCGACGTGAATCTCCCCACCCAATTCTTACACGACGACACACATTTCGTGTGTTTTGCGCGAGCAGTTCTGTTCGAACAGTTGGAGTAGGGAATATTGTAGGTTACTGCTAGCAAAAAGATGCCAAATATGTAATCACTTTCGGTAATCCGGACACTTTTGATAATTCGACACCCCTTTGGTCCCATACCTGTCGGATTATCAAGGGACAGCTGTACTTTTGTTTTCATTTAAAATGTATCTAAAATTTAATCGTAACTACACCTGTCTGGCTTTATTCGCCCAATATAATTATTGTTTTAAAGGAATCATCTCACTTCATGTATTTTATAATAGAAAACAAACATTATTTCATAAGAAAATTCTCATTTTTAAAAATCCAGCGTCGAAGCGAGACCTAAGATAGTAACTAAAAAACAGTCTTTACTATAGAAATCCTTAAAAATTTAAGTTAAAATATTGTGCGTACCGACTGTCGAAATTAAAGTGTAAATAAGTATACAGTATTGGTTTCTAAACAATAAAAATTCTAAAATAAAGTGTCGCCCACTCTTAAACCGTAAATAAGGCACGACATTCAGAATTCCCACAGTTTCTCTTTATCGGATACAACACACGTGACACGTGGTTGCCAAATCACATAAAGGGATCGTTTTCAATTTACATTTTTTAGGAAATAAAATTAAAATACATTTTATTCAAATAATTATACGTTTTCAAAGAATGGAATTATTTAAGTGCCGCAACAAAATTAAAATAATTTTTATTTGTATAACATTATTATTTTCGCCCACCAGTGGCTGAATGTTTTTTTAAAACTCTTTCCGCTTTGTGGGCACTAGGAGGGCCTCTTAAGGCAGTCCCATTATGGGTTCAGCCAGGCCCACAATGGGACGGCCGGTGGTGGGGACGGGACCCGACATATCCGAATGGACCACCCCCGAAAGACTCCGGGAATTCTTTGACCCGTCCGGATTTGTTCCCGGGTCCCCCAGAGCGGTGGGCTGCTACCTTGACCGCTCGGCCATCCGGCCTCCTGATCATTTTGTTCAATACAGTATACTGAATACACAAAAAATAAAGACAACCAACATATTTACCAATACACAAACACGATGGCTGCAGCGAGCGAGTTTTAGTTTCGTTTACTAAAATTTTAATCAATTATAAAGTTGCCATTAAATTAAAATGATCATAAATGATTTAAAGTGAACGTAAATTAACTAGGTGGGGGCGGTAGCGTAGTTAGATCGATAGTTGGAGGGTCCGAATTAAAACGTTCAAACCTAGGTTTACTCAGTACAATACGAATGTTACCACTAGCGCTGTAGATAAAAATCTTAGATATTGTATATTTCTGTACCGGTACATAAGTGCGTTTAGGGACGCCCAGAGGGGCAAAAGGAGCGAGTTAGGCCGGGCCCCAAGAAAGTAGGGGCCCTATATAATGTTTTTCGATTATTTCAATTTACTTTAATATGATAATTTAATTTGCTATAGATTCCCAATATGTATTTTGTCTCAATCCCCGTTACCTTCTGAGCGGCCCCCGCGTTTGTCACATTCAAATGTTTTTCTTGCGCTTTTTTGATTTTTTTCTTCACTTATTTACAAAGGTAAAGTCCCGGCTCTACTCCCTCTTTATGCTTTTGGATGTTAGTAAAATTTGTTTCGAGTGTAAAAAAATTTTGAATAAAAAAAATTAAATTATTATTATTATAATACAAATGCGCGTTTTTAATGTTACGCCAGCTTATTGTACGAGCACGTCCATAATTTAATGTAAGTAATAAGAAGTGAGTCATCGTAATCAGAATCGTTAAATTAATCAACAAATTAGCTATTTAAATTAAATTTAAAGTTAAAGTTTCTTATTTTCGTTTGCCGCTTCTAGAAAAAAAAAGGCGAACTTTCTTAATTAAAGGATTTTGTAACCGAGACGAAATGTGACAACACCTCTTATTTTCAATATCCTTCGGGAGAACATAAGAATTTTTAAATAATTTCTTGTTTTTAGAGCCAGCTTTTATAAAACCGTTGTTCATAAATTACTATCGGTGTTCCACCTTTTACATAAATTTATGATAGCACCGAGTAGAGTTTTTTATTATTATCTTCTAGGGCAGGCGAGCAGCTAAAGTTTTTTCTAAGATTCTTCTTTCGTAAAGTTGTATTAGATTATTAATTCTTTTCTGATACATAGGCTGTAGCTTTAATGCTATATCTGGCGGGAGAAAAGTAACACGAACTACAGTAAATACCTTACCAATTTTGGATGACACAGTTATCCGTAAACAAAAACTTCGCGTTTTTCAGTGAAGAGTTAAAAATCACTTAAAAAATAAAAAGTTCTTTTTCATGATACGACGTTAAAAGTTTCGGTAAAAAGTTATTTTTCTAACCTTTAGTCTTAATTAATTAATTAACATTTGCACTTTTCATCACACAAGTTTTTGAATAATTAAACTTATCGATCCGACTTACATTACCGACGAAATTAGCGTGTCACAAAAATTCGGCAAAATAAAATGAATTTTCTCTAGTGAGTGGCTCGGAAATTGAGACATTTCTATTGAAAGCAGCTTCGTCCATATTTTTGCAAGTATAGACTTTAAAATGTTTGCGATTATTAAGCCAAAACGATCTTCAGCTTTTCTCAAAATTTCTTCACGATTTTTTCGAATCGTCGAAGATGTGTTTGGCGGAATCCCAAATTCTGTGGCAATCTCCTTTTTTAAATACCTTTATCAATTTCACTTATCAAAAGAACTTTGCCCGATAAGGACAGTGTATTCAGCTTCTCTTTTTTTCTTCACTCAAATCAACGCGTATTGTAGAGGAAAAAGTGGTATTATGGAACCACTCCACTTCGAACTGATAATAAAGGCGAACTGTATCGGATTGTGGCCGAACTGAACTAGGCAGACATCCATAGCGAGGGTAAAACCCGTTTCGCTTCGGTTAAACGGTTGTCCGTAGTGAATAAGCAAATTTGTGTTTTTCAAAATTCGAAAGTTTTGAATGCTAAGTGAATTTAATTATTTCTAAAATATAAATCGTGTAGTTTTAGGGTCACTGGTGCACCGTATTCTGTTCCAGAGATTTAGGGGTACGTACTAATCTGTGGGATGTTCACGTTTTTTAAAATTTGGTCTCGACAGACATAAGTTAATTCGATATGGCGATTCCATTGGTGCTTTTAATACGGTACCCAACTCCTCTGGGAACCCGACTCCTCCGAACTCTCTCTTTGCGAGCAGACATTCGTCCGGAGCAATTTGTGAAAAAGACACTAGGTAGAAAGCCAATTCATCCCGAGAATATCGAAAAAGAGCTGCTGGAATATATGTTGATGATGGAGGTCACATTTTTCTATTATAAAAGCATTTTTTCGATAAAATGCATTGGAGTAAATGATTTTGTAATTATTTAACATTCTTTGTACGTTCCTATTTGTTTTTGGCTACGTTAAAGCATTTTTTGAAAATATACAGTAAGGTTCCGTATTACCACTCGATTTTCTCTAAGCTTACTTTCTGACTTTTTGTACAAAAGCCTTCAAAAACCATACTTATAGTTACACTAACGAAAAATCCAATTAGGAACATTTAGTTTAATAGTTACAGGTACTTTTTGCACAAAAAATGTGGGTGTAGTTACGATACCTTGTTTAAAATTCACTAAAATGTAATTGGGGTTCCATAATACATACCACCTTCTCCTCTACGACTATTTTGGCATTCGAAAGCAAATATATGGAAACAACCTTTATAATCTATTGATTTTAATTACACAGAAGAAAATGACATCGATTCCTTACGAAGTTTGTCTTGCGCACCATGTTTTTTAATTAATCTCATTTTTGACTCTTTTTGCTTTATAGGCTAAGAGAGTCTTTTTCCACGTTCATTATGGATTAAACCACAATGGAGACAGCCGAGTAGTGAACTCCGGGCTAGACATATCCGGGATGATCCGCCCATGAAAAAAATTTCTGAAGTTTCTTGCGATCAAGATTCAATCGACGGCTTGATGGTGAGAGTCGAAAAACCTAGAAATTTTTTCGAGCGTGGTCTGTCCCGGATATGACGACCCGGTTCCTCAACCCGGCAGTCTAACTATGGACCTGGGCGAGCTCACAATGGGTTTAATAAAAAACACCCTTTTAGTACACACAAAACGAAAAAAAAAAAGTAATAATAAGCCCAAATTTGATTGGGGGTTCTCCAGACGGACGGCGTTACACCATCGTTAATAGCCACTAAAATTATAAGTTTTTAGAACTTGTGTCATTCATTTCTATTTGTTTTTCAAATTAAACCTCTATCAAAGATTTCATAATCGGTCTTCTTTTTGGTTTTCGTAAAGAAGAATCTAACATTTAGACCGTACTGGGTGTTTCGATATTGCAATTTAGAGATATTAAAAACAAGACGAAATAAAAGTATAAATTACTGTATTCATTTAATCTCTAGACAAACTGTAAATTGAAGTATATTTTCTCATACATTGCAGTTGCTATAAACTGATATTTCGAGGGTTATATGCTCCAGATACTATAAAAATCTCGATTTGCGTAATGCTCCGTAGACACATGTTAATTTTGTTGAGGAAATATAGTTAGAGATATCTGATGCGTGAAAAAATAAATCGGAGTCAATAAACAAATAATATATTCTCAATACATCACTTCAGAAAATGCGTGTAAATATATTTGTATTTATCTAGTACATTTTTATTTGTATATTAAATTAAAGATGCGGCACCAAACGTTGATATCAGAAAGGTTAACGATTTCAGCACGTTTTGGCCGAGTGCCAGTTACGTATCTGTTTTATTTAGACGGATTATATTATAATATTTAACAGAAACGAATATTAAAAAAAGCACATATTTAAACCCTGTAAATAGAGAATTATCTTTATTTCGTCTCTTTTATTACATATAATAAACATCGCTTATATATATTATATGTAGTGACGTGTTGAATTTAGCCGATTTCTTACACGGTCAAAATATTTTAGCAAATTCTAAACATTCCAGGTAAATATATCGATTATATTTATTAAACACCGCTTAAACATCTGGATTTAATTATCGATAATGTCGAATTGAGTGTAAATGCTTTAACCCGAGCACTTTTGATTTGTTAAAAAAGTGGTATTTAATAAAATAAACGAATGCTTATTATTAATTGATCACAGCTTAAAATTAAACCGACTGTAAATTTGATTTTGTTTTCGCATCTCCTGACGATGACGTTGTTTGATTTTTGCAATGTCATTATTGACCGCTAGAGGTCGACATTTCATCATGTACGGTCCTCTTTGTAATCAGTGATACAGTCGACGAATTTCCTGTCTACTTATTGTTAATTTCAATACTTTTGCTAGAGAAAATATTAATTGAATCGCATAAGTTTAATGATAATCTATGGTACTTTGTCTCTGGTGAGTTTAACTTTTCGTATATAAATTTTTTTTTATCTTGACGTAATTCGTATTTGTCACTTATATCGATGTCAACTTTCGTATATATTCATTTGAAATAATATGGAAATATTAATGAGACTGGATCGATTTATATCGTAATTCATTATCCAAGTCTGTCGGACGTTGTTATACATAAATCTTCACTTGAGTTTTTAACTCATCTAATGACGTAGACATGTGCGTTTGGGTTAATTCTCGGATTTGTTTCACAATTAATTCTATTTCACTTGGTTAATTCGTGTCAATTCTTAAGAAATGGAATGCGAAATGACTCCAACTTTACCATATTCAATAAAATTAGGTTATATAGGTTACACGGTATTTCACATCCTCCAAGGTTATTACTGTGATATTAGTATTGAACAGAAATTGATTGGCACTCTGCAATACTACTGTTAGATGTTACTTATATGTTACTACATACTTTCCAATATAATTGTTTGTAATAGTAAAAAATTCCAATTTATGTCTGTATATAATAGTGTCTTATTTATTTTTACTATGTTAAGGAATTTAGAAATTGGTAAGTTCGATCTCTATATATTTATTTATATACAAATTACCTAAAAGTAACTTCCACTCGCACGAAACTTTAAAATATTTTAAAAGACTGGTATTTTAATTCTTCGGTTTTCTTGTTTTGTACCGAGGATTTTTTAATGTGTTGAATTTCAAATATAAACGAATAGTAAAATAAAATATATGATGTTTATTTGCATTTTGGATGTTTATAAATTTGTATAAATGATAGCAATGTATCAAAACATAAAAAAAAGGCTTCTTTTATAGATGCCGAGTTTAATTAATAGTCATTTATAAAAGGAAGATTGTGTTGCTGAATTCCTAGAAGAAAATAACAAAAACTATGTCTGAGATAAAGGGCAGTTTAATCGTTTGGAGATGTTCGTTCAAAAATTAGTTTTTCTGGTGTTTAATGTTAAATATGCAAAATCATTTTCAAAGTTCTTCCGTATACTATCTTTCGAGATTCGTCTGATAAGCATATTTTTTAAAAATTATTTTCAAGAGATTGTAGTTATGCCGCAGTCGGTTGCAAAAATTGAATGTATGGCAATATTTGTTGGATGTTTCGAATATCGGATGACCGAAGTTAAGAAAAAGTTTCTGAACAAACTATTAAATTCTACAAAACATAGAAACAATAAAAGAAACGAAAAAAATATAATTGTAACAGACTTGATAGTAAGAATGTATTGAAAGCTATTAAATTACGGTGGTACCTCAGGATACGAACGCCCCAGCGTACGAAATTTTCAGGATACGACATGAAATTCGAACATATTTTTGCTCCACAATATGAACAAAAACTCACCATATGACGTTACATTAGTTTGCAGCGCCATTTTTTATTCACTTCTGTTCGTTGGTCTCATTCGGCGTGTTTGCTTCATTGTGGAAGGATCTCGCTCGATAAAGGAAATCTTGAGGTATTATCAGAAAGTGACTGATTTTATTGAAAAGAAACATCCCGAAAAGGTTTACACTGGCCGTATTGCTGCTCGGAGTAATGACATTTACCTAAGTTATTTTAGAAACATTTTAAAAAGTAGGCAAAGCCAAACCTCAAAATTGATGAAAAAACTTTATGGATTAATTGTACATAAATAACCCCCGTTTTTTTGCCTGGACCGCATTTAATCAGAGACAAAGCTTTTATTCGTATTCTTTATTTATTTTCTTTTCTTTTCTATTTATGTACAATTAACCCATAAAGTTTTTTCATCAATTTTGAGGAAATATTTTTGAAAAATTGATTTTTTAAAAGTAATATAAAGTAAACCGCACCATGGATATATACATATCTATTACTTATAGCAAAGCCAAACCTCTTTGGATAGATATTTTACCAAGCGATCTCTATCCAGTGAAAGTGCTGGTGGAAGTGAAGGAAAGAAAGCAAAAAGCAGTGAATAAAAATTAAAAAAATAAATAAAAAATAAAACAACACTAATTTTTTAAAATCTTTTCTAAGTTATTTTTAAATTATTGTTACATTATGTTATGTAAGTTAAGTTTTAGTATCATTTCCCTTCTCCCTCTCTTCCGCCACCAATTTACACCTTCACCGTTGTCTATCCTCAAAGGTAAAGTGCAAATAAAACTACATTTTTTTTAATCAATTATTATTCTATTACAGTTATTTATACATTTACAACTACAAAACACATTTTTCAGTATTTTCCTTACTATAGTTATTATTATTATTATTTTTTTTTTTTAATGTACTACTTAGCTTTAATTTGAGTGTTTTTTTCTTGTTGGAACGAATTATTTGGTTTTACATGTAATCGTATGGGAAAAATGATTCACCTTACGACATTTTCGTGATTCGATCTGAGTGTTGGAACGGATTAATTTCGTATCCTGAGGTACCACTGTATTAAATTTAAACTGGTTTAAGTTTCATATGGTGAACTGATTTTAAAAAATTTTGAAAACCGACCCAAAGCTGAAGTTTTGGATATAACGACTGTGAAACAAGAAACAATGCTACATAAGAATGTGGAAATAAGCTAAAGAATCATAAAACTGATCTTATAAGAATTATTGATTTATGCAATATTTGATAAAATTATCATCTAGAATCTATCAAGAAATTCTTTGACAGGAAAACCAATCATTGTGAGTTAGGCAAAATTTAGAACGGAAAACAAAGATCACACAAGTTCAGTATTTATTATAAAACCTTGATTTGTGAATTTAAATTAAAAATAGAATCATTAAGTTTCAATTCCATTTTACAGTATAGTATCTCAAGTATTCTGGTAGAGATAATTTTATACTTTTGGTATTAAATGTTTTTCAAGTCCATTTGACTCATCATCAATACAGTTTTCTAAGCTTAAATGAACATAAGACATTCAAGTTTCCAAATAAATTCTTGTGTTAAAATGATGTTAGTCATTTTTTTTTTTTTTCAGCATGTAAAGTCACATGCTCTAACATTTTGAAATTCTACAGATGTTGGTTATGTTTAGTTAAATTTGGAAAGTTATAAGTGCAGATGAGTCAAATATATTCAAAAATATTAGACCACCCTTCAAAAATATTGATTTTGTAGTTTTGATTGCATATAACTATTTTCACTTACATTTTACAAATTTCCTTTATTTTGTTTCTTAAAATTCAATATTTATTTAACAGAAAGAAATTCACACAATAGAATTTTAATGTATTTTAACAGTATAAAAAAAAATTTTATTTTACTTGCATGTATGAGACTAAAATTTGACCAGCAAAATTTCTTGACAAAAGTATTAGATCAGTGTTTCTCAACCTCTAACGAATCGCCGCGCCCTTCAATCAAACCGTTACATAGTATCGCCCCCTTCACTACAAAATTCCGATGCCAACAGACAAGGCTAACGCCAAATTTGTACTGCATTGAATAGACTAGTGACTAGTATAATGTTATTTGTTTAATTATTGTACGATATAATGAATAAAATATCTAATTATTCTTAATATAATGTTTTACTATATCTCCTAGAAAATTGTTTTTCACCCCCCAAAATATAAATTGTTGCTAATCGCTCCCTGAACATGGAAAAATGCCCACTTGGGGGCGATATTGCCCCTGTTGAGAAACACTGTATTAGATTGTGTGAAATATATCCAAGAATATTTCACAATAAAACTTGATAATTAATAGAAAAATCTGAAATGTTCTAACATGTTAAAAGTAAGTAACTAAGTAAACTACAAGTGTATAATAGCATAATAGGTCAGAACAAGTAAAATGGCAAAACCGTATTTGGGACAAGACTGACATATGTCTGCTTAGTAGTGAGACTCACTACTAAGCAGAATCACTTTGACACTCAAGGTGGGTCTTGTTCTCATTCTCCAATCTTCTTTGGTATCGCTGCTTTTGGGCATGATCATTCAAACTTCGCTGGCCACAACCACGAAGTTGTCCATGATGCATTTTCGATGAAATTAACCTAGCCAACTAAATTATAAATTTTTGTCTATAAACAATCATTCATTATTATCAGGACTTATTATACTGGCTTAACAGACAATACAGANATATTATTTTTTTTTTTTAATGTACTACTTAGCTTTAATTTGAGTGTTTTTTTCTTGTTGGAACGAATTATTTGGTTTTACATGTAATCGTATGGGAAAAATGATTCACCTTACGACATTTTCGTGATTCGATCTGAGTGTTGGAACGGATTAATTTCGTATCCTGAGGTACCACTGTATTAAATTTAAACTGGTTTAAGTTTCATATGGTGAACTGATTTTAAAAAATTTTGAAAACCGACCCAAAGCTGAAGTTTTGGATATAACGACTGTGAAACAAGAAACAATGCTACATAAGAATGTGGAAATAAGCTAAAGAATCATAAAACTGATCTTATAAGAATTATTGATTTATGCAATATTTGATAAAATTATCATCTAGAATCTATCAAGAAATTCTTTGACAGGAAAACCAATCATTGTGAGTTAGGCAAAATTTAGAACGGAAAACAAAGATCACACAAGTTCAGTATTTATTATAAAACCTTGATTTGTGAATTTAAATTAAAAATAGAATCATTAAGTTTCAATTCCATTTTACAGTATAGTATCTCAAGTATTCTGGTAGAGATAATTTTATACTTTTGGTATTAAATGTTTTTCAAGTCCATTTGACTCATCATCAATACAGTTTTCTAAGCTTAAATGAACATAAGACATTCAAGTTTCCAAATAAATTCTTGTGTTAAAATGATGTTAGTCATTTTTTTTTTTTTTCAGCATGTAAAGTCACATGCTCTAACATTTTGAAATTCTACAGATGTTGGTTATGTTTAGTTAAATTTGGAAAGTTATAAGTGCAGATGAGTCAAATATATTCAAAAATATTAGACCACCCTTCAAAAATATTGATTTTGTAGTTTTTATTGCATATAACTATTTTCACTTACATTTTACAAATTTCC